TGCCTAGAATCCTCCAGTGAGGGGCTGTGGGCGTGGCTCAGTGGTAGAGCCCCTGTCTAGAATCCCCCAGGGAGGGGCTGGGGGCGTGGCTCAGTGGTAGAGCACTTGCCTAGTATTTGTGAGTACCTGGGAGATTTATTGCATCTCCCAGGATGGCAATAAATAGAAAGAAAAAAGAAAAAGAAAAAAAGAAAGTCCTGGAAACATGCTCCTAAGACACACGGAGCCCTGTAGATCCATTTTCAGCTCTGCTGTCCGACTCCTAACCCTCCTGCCTCAGCCTTCTATGTGATAGAGTTTAGACCTGGGCCACTATCCCTGGCTTTATGTCAAGAGCAAAAATAAAATGTCCTTTCTATAGAGTCTCCTCAGAGGTCAGAGGTCAGAGGTCCAGGCTTTGTGATCGAGCTGCAGAGTGCTGCCGTTGTTCAACATGGCTGCAGTTGTCGTGTCTGCTTGTCCTGGTGTCCTTTCTGTCATCTGATGAAGCACTCTAAACCAAAACCAGCTTAGGGAATGTAAGGGCTTATTTCAGCTTATAAATCAGTCCACCATGGAGGGAAGTCAGGGCAGGAACGGGGAAGCAACCCACAAGGGAAGGTTGCTAGCTGGCTCACCCAAGACCTCCTGCTTACCTGGCTTTCTTATGCAAACCAGCACCACCTGCCTTGGGATGGTGCCACCTCACAGTGGGCTGGGCCCTCTGACGTCAATCAACTGTCAAGATTGCCCCAGGCCAATCCTATCTAGGCTGTTTCTCGTTTATCAGCTGACTCCAGGCTGTGTCAATTGACAGTTAGAGCTAACTAGGACACCTGGGTAGCGCTGGCCTCAGGCTGTATACGGTGGTGGTGGCAGCAGCAGCAGTGGATGTGGGGGCTGAGCTATCCTTCTAGATGGGTCACTGTCCCCACTGTGTCCCACTAGATATTTTCATAAGTTCACAAGTTTATATCATGTGTCCTCTGCCACTGTCTACCTTATTCCCCTGAGAGAGGGTCTCTCACTGACCGTGGAGCTAAGCTGGAGGCCAGCAAGCCCCCATGATCCTTCTGTCTCTGCCACCCCACTCCAACCGTGTGGGATTATAAGTGCCGGCAGCCAAGCCTGGGTATAAGTGTCATTCCCAACTTTTTAATCAAAGCCTGTGAACAACAAAGTTAGAGGTAGCAACTACAGCTCAGACAAGTTAGGTAGGCGCCTGGAGGTCCGGGGGATATGAACTAGTACCCTTTCTTCTCTCCCAATGAACCCCAGGATTCACCTCTAGAGTTTACACCTGCCCCTAATCCCAGGCCCCAAATCCACTTTGTTGTCTCAAAACTCATTGATGCGCTTGGCTGGAACTTTTTCAGAGAAAGTGAAGTTCCAGGAATGGCCAGAAGGTGGCAGACACGACCCGCTAATGGTGACTCCATGGTTTCCTGCCTCTCTGAGTTTTTCTAGCAAGAGGTTCTTTTCAGAATCTTCCTGCTCTTCCTCACAGACCAGAGTCAATTGCAATTTAAATGCTGAGCTACATACATGCACGGCCCTCAGATGACTTAGTCTCACTGTTTGCCCAGGCTAGCCTTGAGTTTTTGATTCTCCTGTCTCAGTCTCTTAAGTGCTGGGATAACTGAGCCTGCTCCGTGGTTGCACACTTAGGCCTCTAGTGTATTTCCAGAGGTAGTGGGTCAAGGGGAAGGCCTGATCCTTAAGACCTTTCAGCTGCCTCAACGGCAGTTCTGGACCCTGAGCAAGAAGAAAGGATGTGGAGAAAACAAGCTACAGTTTGACTCCGTGGCTGGGAGTTGAAGGCCATGTATCTCTGCTGCTCCGTTTATCCGTAAAAGGGGAGAACAAACTCAATTATTGGAATCATAGACAGGGAAAGATAGCTTGTCAACTCTCATGACCGGTATACCCGGGCACTGGGGTCGTGGCTTAGTGGTAGAGCCCCTGCCTAGATTCCCCCAGTGAGGGGCTGGGGGCGTGGCTCAGTGGCACACCATCTGCTTACCACTCATCTGAGCACACAACCGACAGTGACCAGAACTGGAACCTCCATGGCACCCACAGTGTTCTCCCATTACTCTCTCCTCAGGACCTCCAGGACAGATGGGACCACCTGGGCCAGCAGGGCCTCCAGGTTCTAAAGGTGACCGGGGCCAGACGGGAGAGAAGGGCCCAGTGGGACCTCCAGGTAAGGAGCCCTTGTCCCCTGGAGTAGAAACTGCAATTTGCTTTGTACCTGTGCATGGGTGACACTTTGTATACCCTGGTCTTGTTACCCCAAATCCACTACTCCCTTCTCACCTTCCTCCTCTCCCCAACCTCAGAGGTGCCGCAGGACAAGAGTCTACAGGGACCTTTTGGGGGGGGGGGGTGGCTGCTGAGGCCCAGAGGTTTGTTACAAGCACCTGAAACATCACCCAGGAATCCCATGATCCCCTGCGTGCTGTAGAGCACTGGTTCACCCTCCCTCCTTGCTGCTGAGCTAAACTACTCCTGAGTCTCAAGACATCTCTGACTGGAGCCTGCACCAATCCCACTTCTAACTCCATCTATCTACCCTCTGCTGTCCCTGTGACAGAAAGAGGAAGCTGTCCCATTGACCCGCCAGGAGGACTGTGGGTCCAGAGACTTGTGACTGGTTGGACAAATGTCCCTGGCCACTCCTCTCGCCTTCAGGGCCATAGTTCCTTTGTCTGTAGCATCATAGCTGTCAGTCTTGCCTAAAGCCTTTGTTCTCCATTGTAGGTCTCTTGGGGCCACCAGGGCCCCGCGGGCTTCCTGGAGAGATGGGGCGCCCTGGTCCACCAGGCCCTCCTGGCCCAGCTGGCAGTCCTGGCCTCTTACCAAACAGTCCCCAAGGTGTCCTCTATTCCCTGCAGACACCTACAGACAAGGAAAGTAAGTACTGGGCTGCGGGTCGGGTCGGGGTTGGGTGAGCCAAGCTGTCTGTTGAGGGAAACTAGCTTTTCCCTGAAGGATCCCAGAGAAGCCAAGCGTCCACCAATGTGGGACCATCCAGGAAAGCAGGCTTGGTCCTGAAGACGATCTCCTTCATGGAGACCATCTCCAACCCTGCTCTTGGTCCCAGCTTAGCTCACCAGGTCTGACACTTCCCGCCTCTGCCTGCAGTCAACTCTACCAGCTGACAAGGCTCCCCCACCAGGATCACCCCTTGATTTCCTTCCCTATGGTCTCTCACTGTAAGATACCCAACCAGTGTTTACTGACACAAAGTGACAAAGAAACCTGCTTGTTCTCAGAGACCACAGTGTGAGCCGTGTGAGCCGTGTGAGCCACAGACCACAAAAAACACCTGCTTTGTGGGGACACAGAGCATGAGGTCAGATCTCAGGGACCAGAATGAGGGAGAGAGTGTCAAGAAGGAGCAGTTCTGGCTAAGTGCTCTAACCCTGATCTTAACCTCACCCCTAACCCTAGCCCTGGGGTTATCTTAAAATCTTGGAGGAGTTGGGCATGGTGTCACAAGCCTACATCCCAGCTCTCAGGAGGCTGTTGCAGGAGATTCAGTGCTAGCTTGAAATCAGTCTGGGATATACATCAAACTCAAGACACGTCTAAGCTATACAAGGAAACCCTGTCTCAAACGGAAAACAAAACAAGAAAAGCACATTAAAAAAAAAAAAAGTAGGTCTGGGGCACATGAGAGAGCCTGCCTAGAATCCTCTAATGAGGGGCTGGGGGCGTGGCTCAGTGGTAGAGCCCCTGCCTAGAATCCCCCAGGGAGGGGCTGGGGGCGTGGCTCAGTGGTAGAGCTCCTGCCTAGAATCCCCCAGGGAGGGGCTGGGGGCGTGGCTCAGTGGTAGAGCCCCTGCCTAGA